CCCACCGCAATGCCTGGCTATATTTTTTGTTGTTGCAGTTGTCATTGTTGTTTAGCTGGCCCAGGCCAGGTTCAAACCCGCCAGCCTCAGTGTATGTGGCGGGTGCCCTACCCACGGAGCTATGGGTACCGCCAAGTAGGTCAGAAATTCTTACAGGACATAGCAGGGATAATGCCATGATGTCTGGGAACTCAGCTGGAAAACTCAAAGTTGGAGTGACATGAAAGGCTGGCATGTGGGTAGGATGACAGAATCAGCTGGAAGCTTCTTCATGCATATGTCTGGGGCCCTAGGCTGGGATAACCTGAACCCCATGCTAAGCTGGCACTCTCTAGACCAGAGTGCCCATATATGGTCTCCCCAGGCAGCTGGGGTTCCCTCACAGTGTGGCAGCCTCTGTATCTCAAGAATGGAAAAAAAATACCCAATGTACTCAATACTATTATGAAATCAATATATAATTACCCACACTTTCAGACAAAAGATAAAACACAATCATAGCCCAGAAAGAAGGAGAGAAGAGCAGAGTGAGGGGAGGGAAGGTGGGGACGGTGTGGAGGGAGGGTAATCGGTGGGACCTGACCTATTGTGCATATTGCAAGCGTACATGTCAAATATATTAATAGTAGAGTATAAATGTCTAAACACAACAAAAGAGTGAGATGAGTGATATGTTAACCAGTTTGATGTAAACATTCCAAATTGTACACAGAATCAGCACATTGTACCCCGTAAATGCAGTGACGTACACAGTTACGATCTAATAAAATAAAACAAAACAAGAAAAAAAAAAAGATTACAGGTGTGAGCTACCACGCCTGGCCTACACAAATCCTTTTGATACAGGGTTCCCCCACTCAGGGCTGGACAGGGACCAATTTTTTAGGCCTAGGCAAGCTTAACCACATATATTCTCTGGGCCGGAGCAGGTCCAAAAGCCAGTCTGACCAGCGTCCCACCTAAGCTGCCAGTCCTGGAGCAGAGGACACACCTTAAACAAAGCAAAATTGCATTCCTACACAAGGACAGTTTTGAAATTAACTTCTGCCCTCAAGCCACTTTCTTCCCATCCCCCCACCTCACCCCACTCCCCGTGCCAAAGGGTTATATCATTCCATCTCCCCACAGGGTAGGAAAAGTGGTATATCCTAGACAGAAGATCCACAGGGGCTACCAGCTCCCTAGGGAATTCCCCTTTGGCCTGCCAGAGGCTCTGATCTTTTTTCTACT